TTTAGCACAATGAGTGGAACCTTTAACATGTATAAGTCAGCTTTTCACCACTGTGACAAAATGAACATCTTCAAAGGAAGACAGGGGTATTTTGCTCACGGTTTTCGAGGTTCCCGTCAATGGTCAGTTGGCTCCACAGCCTGTGGCGAGGCAGCACATCCTGGTGGAAGTGAACAAACCACTCACCTCAGGGCAGCCAGGAAGCAGAGTGGAACAGGAAGGGCGACAGCCTCAATATTCCCCTCCGGGGACGCCCCAGCGCTTTAGTCCTTCCAGGAGGCCCTCCCTCCTAAGGGTTCCACCTCCAAAGAGCTCAATAGGCTGGCAAACCACGCCTTTAGCACATGGGCCTCTGAGGGAGACTTAGCCAAGCCACTGCACCTGTGCTGCCTGTTAACTTAAAATTCTCAGCTTGACAGTTTGCTGAGTTTGCTAGAGAAAGCGATGCCACAGTGTATCACAGGCAAATGGGACACTCCAGGCACCAATTCCTTAGCTCCAGTCGCCTCCCAGCATAATCTTCCTGTGTCCCCAGTCACACCACCTCCTCCAGCCACAGCGAGCTGTGTGTGTGACGCTTATCCTGGCAACTCCGTCAGAGTACTCTCTCCAGAAACGATTTGTTTACAAGACCGAGTCACCTCTTAGCCTCCACGTTAAGTGAAGCAGGGACAATGTTTGAAAGTCTATATCCCTAGCATCTAGCTCAGTGCCAAGCACATATTAAACTATCCATAGAACGGATGAAAGAAAAACTGTAAGATTGGAATTTCAACTACTTGGTCCGCTTCTCCTATTTCCTAGGCTGACCTCAAATCCTAGCATCGTTTCCCCAAACAACAGAACTCATGCTCTGAGAATCTCTCAGTCCTACTAAACTGACCCGGCAATTCTGATCGCATGAAAAAGGGTACAAAAAGAAAGCAGAAGAGCTGTCAGCTTAAAGGCTGTATCTCCAGACAAGACAAGCAGGGTGGGTGTATATAGCAAGGGATGTAAATTGGTCATCGCGCTGGACAATGCATCTGTTTTGTCTTAAAGCTCTCCTTGTAGTAGTTGGGTGGGGAACGCAGGAACTTCCATGTATAAATGATTGATCGAAACTTGTAGGAGAATTTGATTAAGATTAAACTATAACTCCAACACTCCCGAAAACCTGCCAAGGAGATTCACAATTATAGAGTCAATTATTAGCAGTAACAGCTGGACTTACCTTGGTACCAAGTTACATTACAAATCATTTAACATTTTATAAAAGGGCAGGAATAAGGAAAACAGCACTGAGATTGTAGTTTTGTAGACGTAAGCGGCTTAAATACAATGAAATTAAAGATGAAGCTCTCAAGTGCTACACTTAAGGGGAGAAAAAAACCAGAGGGAAAGCCAAGTAAAGATGGCTTGATTGGGCTGTCATTGCAAGAACTTGCTTCAGGTGTTCACACTTGGCTGCTTCCTGGGATACACCTTATCGTGAGGACAAGGAGGCATCTGGTATCGCGATGCAGGACACAAGTGGGAACTGCCACTCTGACCAGCTGGCTGTGAGGATCCATCTGACAGCAACGCCTACTGAACTAGCAGTTTCTCTGCCTCTGCCAGTTTGGGGCAGTTTCTGTCTTTTCCCACAACACCTAGCTTCCCTGGGGCCTCCGCCCTTCTAACATTTCTACTGCTGACACTGACCAAAAGTGAAATTTGCAGAGAGAATCGCTCTGCGAGTCACCAGTTTGGACCAAGTGTCTCCTGGGCAGCACTCTTTCCCCGGCTGGCCCCATGGGGTCCACAGAGGCCCCCGAGACAGCTGGCTGCTGTAGGGCACTCAGCTTGGTGAATACACAGAGACAATGTTCCTCCTCAGCAGGGAAGAGCTGACGCGGCAAGCTCACGGGGGCCCCCCAAAACCTTCAGCCACTGTCCCGGTCTACACTCCAGGCTACCCACTGAAACTGGATGCTTATAAACTCAGAGAAAAGGCTAAAGGTGATGGCGGGGGACAACAGAGGTGACATCATCTAGGTTGGCAGAGACAGAATCCTGAGCCCTGAGGGAGGCTGGCTTCAGAAAGCAACATCTCTTCTGCAGAGCTGAAGTAGGGGGAAGATGGTGGAATCCATCATGATTTCCATCTGTTCATACAGTCAGCACGTGGCGGGGGGTGCTGGTAGTTACACGAGGACAGACTAGGAGCTCGAGGTTCCTAAAGGTCTGGAAGAGCCACTGTAGGGATTCTATAAATGGACCTGAGAATGATTTAAAAATCACCAAATCAGGGGTTCCAGGAGCGAGCACCCCAGTAAGTAGGGCTGGCAAAAGGTCAAGTCAGGTGCTCTCCAGCAACGCAGGAGACCGCACACTGAGGACCAAGGGGCAACAGAGCTCCGGACTGCGGTGTTGCTAGTGAGTACCCACGAGACAGACCTCAGATAATGAAGAGCTACGAACAGAAGATGCACGTGAAGATCTGGCAGAAGTGTTCATAATTAGGATACACAGGCTTACAAACAAAGGAGAAAACTCCTCTTTCAAATGTCAGTGCCCTTTGGAAGAAAGGGAATTAAATGTTGGCTTATTGTAGAATAATTCTGCATATCTAATTTATATGAAGCACACCTCTTAATGGGCGAAGAGGCATTTGATATCTTATGTGCACGAATGGTGTATCTTGAAAATTAGTGTTCATTTTCCTAGGCCACAACTTGTTTTCTTACTGATAAGGGTGAAGAGAAGCAATCTTTCTGCAAAACCTACACAGTATCAGTTCCTGTGCTAGGTGCTTTACACACGTTCATTAATCTTAGTATCTCTGTAAGACAGTCACTTACAGCCGAGAAAACCAAAGCTCACACAGGTTAAGTAATTTGCTCAATTCTAAGACAAGCTTGATACTAAAGCATATGTTCCAGAGGCCATACTGCAGTTACACAGGGGGATGGCAAGATGGACTCTGACTTTTCACTTCTGCCAAATTTATTACACCTCACTACAGATATGGACAGATAATCAGTATCTTTGTTCTCCCCAGATTATTTTCCTATCATTAAGTACCTGGATTAGTCAAGAAGTGCCAAATGTTTAGGTAACAGTGCCATTACCAGGCTGGGGCTGCAGCTCAGTGGTGGAACACTTGCCTAGCATGTGCAAGGCCCTGGGTTCAATCCCTAGGAGTCAAAAAAGATACTACTACAACAATAGACCTTCAAAAAGGTAATAAGGAGATTTAAGGTTCTAGCACTGATGAGTTGGACAACCTTGGGCAAACTTCCTAAACTCCTTTGTTGGCTTGTTTTTTAAAATGAACATTTTAGACTAGATGTCTCGGTCCTATTTGACTCGTTAATTTATTCAGTAAATAGTCTTCTATGCATCAGGCACTGTTTTAGGTGCTGGGAAAACATGGTAAATACATTTAGAATTTCATGGAATTTACATGCCATACAATTCATGACCTTCAGATGAGAATTCTTAAGGCAGTGAAGGGTAGGGAAGGTCATTTTCCAAGCCATTCAGGGAATACTTTTTTGAAACTGTATCTGTACCAATCCTGGCATAAGAAAAACAGACATTTTAGGGACATTCAGTCCCTCGTCCCACTCTGGAGGGATGAGGGACTAGGCTGTGCCCATGATGGAAACCCACACAAATTCCTTGGTTGTAGAGCTAGGGACTTTCTGGGTTACTAAACAGGAAGAGGATCCTGAAGTGGGCGCACCCCTCTCTCCATCACTGCTACCCTTTAAAATAAGCTTGGGAACAAACACAGTGCCTCCCTGTATTCCATGAACTGCTCTAACGAGTTAAACTCAAGGAAAGGTTGGGGGAACCCAGCTTTATAGCTGCCCAGCCAGAAACATACATCAAACCTAGCATTTGCAACTGGCATCTGAACCAAGCACGGTCTTGCGGGACTAGGCCCTGTGGTACCCACCAACCTCCCTGAGTAGACTGTCAGAGCTGAGTGAGATCACGGCACACGGAGTTGGCGCCTGCTGCTGCGTGGTGATGAAAGCAGAAGACACACTTGGGTTCTTCCTACCCTTGGCAGTCTCCTCCAATCCCAGGAAGGAAGCACGGAGGGGAGCTGGTGTGCTGCTAAGAGTCTGCAATTGGGGCACCCTTTAGGGAGGATGGCAGAAAAAGGTTGGGAATTTGCAGCTGAGGAAAACAGCAAATGAAGATGGGTTTCATACCTTCCAGGTCTGACGGGAGACTCAGGAAAACAGCCGATTCTGAGCTTGAGTTTGGTCACTGTCGTCATCACCACCCGGGGCCGCCACCCCTGGACTACTGCCCCATTCCTTTCTAAGCATCTAAGACAAGTCCCCAAGGCGGGGCTTGAACTTGTGGTCCTCAGCCTAAGCAAGCTTCCAAGTGCACTCGCACAGTCCCTGGTTAACCTAAGCCCTCTGATGACTGAGACACGAGGGTGCACAGACATCCACTGTCCATACCTCTCTCCTGCCCAGCTCTTGGGGCAAATCATTTGTTTAGAAACACCATTATCCTTCTACAGTGAATTTTAGTATCTCTTGCCACGGCCAGTTTCCTATACTCAAATATAAACCAAGCAGCACCAGTAATGTAAAAGCATTTGGTGATGAAAAGCCTATGTACTTAGGGTCACTTAGGGTGATCAAAAATACGATGAATGCTTACATTTTCAGAATTTATCACAGTAAGAGTCAGACATTAATTTCCCTCAGAATATGTACTCAATAATTCTCCTCACTTCACTTATTCCATTATTCTTGCCAATGTATCTTTTACTGTAATAAGCTTTTCTAAAAGTTTAAACATTCACCACAGTTTTAGAACATTCCTTGTATGTACCGTTTTTCTTTCATGTTCCAAGATTCAAAATAAAATCTGAAGTGTTAGGAAAGTTTAAAAAAATTATTTTCACTATTCCAGAATCTAACAGTTACAAGTTTACGCTATTGTAAACACAAAATTACCACAGAAATGTAATGACTTAAAAAAAAGTAACTCGAATATTTTATTTAAAACTGTTCAAATTTTCAAATACAAGACATGTGGCAAAGAACAACAGTTAACACACAACATCTGCCACAATTCTTTGAACTGCCCTCTCTATATTTAATGTGATATGCTACAATTTCTTACATTCACGGGATTCTTAAAGGCAGCAATGTCAGTGAAACAGTTCTGTTAACATTCAGAAATTGCTTAAAATAACAACTCTTAGTATTCTACTGCTGCTCACATTAGTGACGTAATTCAACATATTATTAACTTTCAATTCCCAGGTCTAAGTTGAACTGATCTTTGACCTAAACAAGCATTTTCCTAAATTAGCATACTTAGCTCCTTTTCTCAAAAATATTTCCATTCTGAAATAACTTTTTGTAAGATACAATAGTTTCATACTTTATTCCTAACAGGACTCGTGCCGTACGTTTTTTCTCAAAATATATTTGATATATTCTGTGCAAAATGTTAAATTCTGTATAGGTATGTACCTTATTTTGAAAAAGTTTATAAAATATAATTCCTAAAAACAACCTCCACATTAGGCAATAGAGGAAGAAAAGACGTACCAGACAAAGCCTAATTTTTCACATGAGAAACTAAGTAGGTTCTTAAAGCTCCAGTAATGCGTCCCTCGAAAGCCTCAGAATGCACTTTGGTCATTGATAAACACAAGAGAAGAGGCCAACAGAACGAGACGCTTCCTGCTGTCCTGGGCAGGAAGAAAATGCACTGTCTGAGGAAGCTGACTTGAGGCTGGCCGAAAGGGAAGGAGAGAGCAAAGGGACAGAACGTGGCTCTTCTCCACGCGCTCGGCTCTGAAGGTTGCTTCGGGAATTAGAGCTGCACCAACCAAGTACATTATTTACAATTAACTACTTTAAGTTCCATAAAACTTGGTAAAAACATGAGCATATTCAATATGATATACTTTGCACCAAGAAAATTCTAGATTGTTTCAAATAAATTGTTTTAGAAACCAGATGCTCAGTTAAAAAAAAAACACACACAGTCATTTTATGTTTCATGTAATTCCTAAAACACTCTTGATTGTACAAATGTGACAACTTAAATCAAGGCCCAATGTAAGACACTATCATATTTGCCCCATACATCTAACATGGCCACACGATAAGTTCTCACTGGACACTTGGCAAACTATTAAGGGGAGCAACTAACTGCACCTAAAATAGCCCTTGTATGACAGAGGGGACGCACCGGATTAAGTGTAGAGTACAGAATCTGCAAGCGGAAGCTGTCTTTTCTGAAAATTTGGGTATAAATTTATAACTAGCAGTCAGAGGAATATTTTACTGGTCCATAAGCTTATTGTTAAAAGTTGTTCGTTTAAATGTGGTCTGAACAGCACACACCATAGTGTACCATGGGACAGAAATTACTTCACTTGAGTAAACAGAATATACTTCAGTATTATCAATAGGCACTTCACTGGTGAGCTGAGTCCAGACATCACTCAGAAGGACACCACGTCGTGCCCCGGTACACTGTGACACACCCCATGTAAAGATACACCATAAAAGTAACAAGTTTTAAAAGTGCACATTTTGAGCATGCACAGCTGGAGCTGTGCAAACAGCCCAGTGTTTCAAATAAATACAATTATTACTAATTAATTTTATCAAAATATCTTACAGTATGGTAACCATTTACAATTATTGCTCCATTGAGTGTCTTATCAAAGAGCACTTGTCGGCCTGCTGCGTAACACCATATATTAACACTGGAGGGCGCTGCAGCTGCAGCTTAGTGCAGACCCCGGCACTGCTCTGAAATACGTTGCCAGAACCCTGACTGGATCTTGATTTACCCAAGAATATGGTGTCTGCGTTAGCTGAGTCCAATGCAATATTCCAGAGTTAAAGGATTTCTCCTCAAGTAAGGCAAGGTCACGGCGCTGACGGAGAAACGCTACTTTGCGATGGCTTCTGATTTCACGGCTTCTCATTTATGAGCCATTCCCAGGACCTCAAGTATCTGGATATCAGCTTTATCACGCTTTCAACAACTAAGAACATCAATGCTTAAAAATAAAATATAAAGTCTAAAATAAATGTAAAAAACAGTGAACAAGTAAATAAATATAAGAATTGCACGAGACGATCTGATGTAAACACTTCAATTCCCCAGCGGAGACTCCTGAAGCTCAGTCAGCAACTGCTTGTCAGCGGCTTAGTCAGTCCTCAGATTCTGGAAAAGAAGGCTACATCTTCTTTTCTCTGAGTCGTTAGGATTTAATCTTCCACAGCTAGAGAACAAATGACAGCAGTAGTGAGCATCAGGGCCAGTTTCAGCACGGCAGCTTAAATTACACCGTATACCGTCATCCGAATTCCATTCACAGACACGTGTAGGCTTTTAAATCTTAACTCTTTAATCTTTTTCTTTTTAAGGGAAATTTGCTTTAAACACAAATAAAAAGGTGAAAATCTAATTTCTATTGCTTTCTTTTACAGGAAATGGCAATACACACATACATACTTGTTGAATGTGAGCATTTACATCTTACCAACGGTAGCTGTGCATAAACTGGAGGATCTATGCAGCGCTACATAAATAATACAGTTTTTACCAGCAACAGAAATAGGGTTCTTCCTTTTCTTATCAAAATTATATGAGAAAAAAACAAGTACTTCCTTCAACCTAGATGACAGTCCTATAATGTATAATGAATTGTCCCAAATTCAGAGTTCTATCAGTATTTGAAGCCACGAATCTGTAACACCCTTTGAAATTAAATCCAAAGCTATTTTTACTAATTGTATTAAATTAGTATTGCATATGAGATTTCAACTGAATGAGAGGGTAAAATAAGGGTCACAAAAATGCAATAGAATACTAAAAGATTAAAAACAAACTACTTTAGTTATTACCTTTAAATTAAATCCAAGCAAGTCACTGATAACACCAGAAACAGCTGACAGGATGACAACCTGGGTGATGTTATAAAGCAGCGGATTCATTGTAAGCCCATATAATCGAAAGGGGCTGTCCAATTCCTAGCAGGAGAGAAAAACAAAAAGAAAAAGAACCCCACAAACCCAAAACAAACAAACAAACAAAAAAGCAAAAACAACCATTAGCCTCACATTCAGTAAAAGTTATCAATTAGGAATCTAGGTCAATATACAATAAGGATTTAAAAAGACACTGTTCTAAGAAAATTATGAATTAAGTATGCTTTCAGGAAGGATAAATTTAAATAAGTAAATTTTAATTTTTTTTATGTTTTTAGGAGAAAGTGACTTCTTATGAAACTTTAAATTTGTAGCTCCATTTTCGATTCCAAATGAATGACTCAAGGTATTTGGTCTAGTAGCTGTAAGGTTAGAGAGATTTTTATAGAAGGGCTGGAACACAAACTGAAGGAGAACACTACCTTTTTGCGGAAGAATCAGCCGGGTTAATAGACACTGATTCAATTCATTTTCAAACACACAGATTGATTCAGAATTTTAAAGTTCTATTAATGTCAGGTCCTACAGGCTCTGGAGAGTTACAATTCAGCCCCTCACCGAATCTGAAGCTGCGGGACCTTACAGGTTAGTCAGCATGCAAGCGGTTCCTACAGGGAAGTCCTCCCACAGAGGTGAGTACAACAGGGGCCACAGGAATGTGCTCCTGACACCTACGTGTGGGGCCGGTGGCTGTTCCGGCACAGAGCATGGCACACCTGAAGCGCTCCAGGTTGCTGGGCACCTGAGAGGCTGAGAGAGGGGAGGGAGTGACTAAGAGTCCTTTCTTTGGCAGACCACATGACAGCATGACACAGAGGGCATTTAAGCAGGGGAAGAGGACATCAGAAGTGTGTATGACATAGATCACAAGGCTGGCAATGTGGAAGGTGGAAGAGCAGTGACATGAGAAGTAGGAAAACCTGTACGAAGTTCTGTGTATCAAAAGCTGTGACAGACAAAGGAGCCACACAGGGCAGTGCTGACAGGAGAAGATGAATCAGAAGACACGGGACAGGTCCAACTCCTGGACCCGCACAGGATGGCTTGGCTGTGAAGGATGAGGGAGCGAGAGCACACGACATGAAGGCTCAGGCTGTGGACCAGCAGACGACATGCGACCAAACACGACCATGTGACTGGTCACATGTACTCTGCATTTCACTTATTTTTATCTTTCTCTACTCTGAGATTGCAGCTGCTCACTACATGTCACCTGTGTGCTCCCTCCTGTCTGCCTCGGCGCCTATACGCAGAAGATGCCAATATACAGGCAGCAAGCGGACATACAACTATCAGTTCAACCCAGGTATTTTTTTCAAAGAGCAGAATGGCAAAAAGTGGAGTTTGTCTGCATATCATCATCCTCCCTGGGATACTTAGAACAATTTTAAAAAGAAAGCAGTCTGTAACTATTTATTTTATTGCCCTCCACTCACCTCTTTTGAACCCTTTTAATGTCTAAAACACTGGGAGGCACACAGTATTCTCAGTATTTTTTACCTCACCGAGTTAACCACCACTGAGACACAACTAATTTCATACCATTCCCTGAAAACTTGTAAATAGCCCGAGAGCTATTATGAAACTAAATACAAATATATTTGACTAGCAAAAAAGATATGTAAATTAAATGTTTACTGATATAGTATATTTATTATAAAAACTATATATTACTTTTTAATTCAGGCCAAGCAGAAAGCTGATTTGAGAAACACAAAATTCCTAATTTAATATTAAATCTTAAAATGTATTTCCTGGTGGTCTAGGAGGGATAAATTTCCAAAAAGGCCACCACTATAATACTCTAAATATTAGTAACAGTCTCAGTATACAATTCCCAAAGACATTATTTGGATTATTGAGTAATGAGATGTCAAATTAAAATTTCATGAATGTAACTGGAAACTGTATAATCATGAAAACCAATAACAGGGCCTACAGAGACTAAGATATAACATTAGAATAATATATTCTACCCTTTATTCTTACCTTTAGTAGTTTAGTAGCCAGTTTTAAAACATTATTGACTAGTGTCAGTTCCTCCTTTTTGTTGGGTTTCTTCTCCATTTTCAAGTAGAGGTTTATCTTTTATTTAAAAAAAAAAAAAGCAAAAAAATTAGGATGATAACAATATCCTTCCCTCCTGCCATTACTTCCTCGCTTTCACACTGGAGAGGGAACCCAGAGCCCACCAGTAAGCTACATCCCCAGCTCACAAATACACATTTGCACAAGGAAAGACAGCCACTGACGTAACAACAGTGATCATCTGGGCGCTAATATGTGATGTTAACATTCTTTTTTATCCTTTACTATACATTCCCAATCTCCTATAATGATAAAGTAATTTTATAAGCCAAAATAAAAAAGAAAACTGGAAAGCATTATTAAAAAGATTCCCATAGCCAAAGCTACTTAAAAATAAATAATAATTAGAATATACTAAATTGGTTTGTGTTACCTTTAGTGTCCATTTTAATATACTACCTACCCTGTAACAAACAATTTTCGGGTGCTGCCCTGTCCACAGCTCCTGACCCAAAGCTGTGCAAGCAGTACCTCGGGGCAGCTGCCCTCCTCCTCTCGCCCCGCTTCTCCCCTCCGAACCCACAGCCACAACCCCAGCCCACCACGCCGGCCAGTCCTGCCCCAGGGGCTCACACATCTGCCGGACAGCACAGGCACATGAGCTGCAAAGGCAGTAAGACCTACGCAGACCTCAGATTGAGGCCCAAAGCCACGCGTGAGCCAAAGTTGCTAGCAGCGAGCCTAGGGAGAGGCCACCAGCAGAGGCTGCCGGAAGAGCAGAGATGATGACCCTCCAGCCTCAGGGAGAGCGGCAGGAAGTAGCTGACCTTGTCCACTTCCATGAGGCCAGCACATTTTCTCCAAGACCTTTGCCTTTGTTGGCTGCTCTGCCCTTGCCCTTTAATTCAGCTTGTCAGTCATTGATTCTTTAAAATCAAACTATCACTAAAATATCTAAAAATCTTCACTGCCAGTAAGTTTCTTTATGGAATTCTTATAAAATGGTGGGAAAAATATTAATTCATATAATATAAGATGAATCAGCAAATTATTACGCCTCATCTTTTCTACTGCACAGGATTCACACTTACTCTACTGTGGGCCTGCTCCACTGGAAAGCAAAACTGTCCTAAGTGGGTATAACTAAAACTAACCTGGGGCTCGCATCACAGGCCACCTGTCCTCCTAAAAGCACAAAACAAGTATGTTTAAAAAGGATGTTTTGTTACCTACACAGTAATTAGATTATTAATGGCCTACAAAAATTCCTCCTCACTCAAGGTGACCTAGGCAAATCAAAAGGTTGAACACCCATGAAAAATTGTCATTCCTCTACATAATACTCCCTTGTCAAAAGAAAACGGGGCATAAAAGCAGATGAGATGGGAATCTGGAGGCAGGAACACGGAAGAGAGGCTTGTATCCTGTCAGATTTTACAGCACAAATGACCTCAATTAAATATGATCCTGAAAGCATGAAGTAAAAATATTTTAATATGTGGATTTAGAGACTGACTTACAACGTTATTAACTCACCTGTTCAGTAAGTAATATTGAGGTATTGCTATACTTCTTACTTGTTTCTGATCCCAGGGTAACAAATCTCAAGAGGAAGAGTGTTAAGGAGATGCACCAGATGACCAGCTCCCAGTTGTAGTGGCAATCAAGGAAGATCTCATGCACGTGAAGCAGCTGAAAATGCAGGGAAAAGCAACATGAAGTAGTAATGGGACTCAACTGCACTGGAAAAGAAAACCATGCTTGATACAGACTGTGCATAAATGTGACACTGAATTTTGAAAATATTCCATTTTCATTAAGAAATGTAATGAGAAGTATACAGAACAATGTAATGAACTACCGCAGGCCCAGGGTGTTTGTGCTGTAAAATCTGACAGAATACAAGCCTCTCTTCCGTGTTCCCGGCTCCAGATTCCCACCTCATCTGCTTTTATGTCCCGTTTTCTTTTGACAAGGGAGTATTATGTAGAGGAATGACGATTTTTCATGGGTGTTCAACCTTTTGATGAGCCTAGCTCAGACTGAGTGAGGAGGACTTGTCTTAGGTCAATTTAATATTTTGCAGTATCTGTTTCAGATACATTTTTAAAAAATAAAATGTTATAGGTCCAGTTGAAACCCCTTTCACCTCTTCCGTGGCCCTGATCTCTGACCCATGCACTCTGCCTCAGCCCTGAGGTAATAAACTTTGGGCTTACTTTTTCCATGCAGGTTTTTTTTAATGCATATATATCTTTTAACTGCTACTTATATATATTAAATTTTATGTTATCACATCTGAATCACGTTGCAACATTCTATTTCACTGAATCCTGTTTGTAAAATTTACCTGCACTAGTAAATTTAGCTCTATATTTATTCTAACTGCTAAAAGATGCCATGTGGAATGAAGTCCATCATCACTCTAACCCTATGTGACACACCAATATTTACTGACCTATTCTACCTATTAACATTTAAGTTGCTGCCAGTTTTCCGCATTAAAATTTATGCAGCAACAAACACTCATGTATGTGTGCACAGATGGGAGGGAGACTTTCTCTGAAAGCTAATATCCAGGAATAAAACCATGACATCCTATCTTCAGCTTTATTAGATATTACAAAATCACTTCTAAATAAAATAGTTGTACCAATTTATACTCTCAGCAATGTTTTCAATTATTTGCCTCCATGTTTGTCTGCTTCTAAACATCCGCCAATCTGGCGGGTGTAAAATGTTCTCTCACTGTTACTTTTCCTTGCTCTTAGAGAGGGAAAGTGTGTTTCACATTTGGTCCCTGGGTTTCCTCATCTGTGAGTTACCTTTTTACAGACTATATTCTCTTAATGCTAGGTTGATTGTATTAAAATTATTTACATATTATACATAACAGTCCTATTGAAATCATACACTCTACTAAAATCTTCCAATTCTAGTTTGTTGCTTATGGTACCTTTTGTGGTTCCTAAAATTTTAATTTTTATACATGTTCAAATTAAAATTTTGCTTTCCACACTGAGGTCTTTAATCCGCATGGAATTTATTTGTATGTGTGGCATGAAGTAATTTCACACCAGTCTTATCTCACGTCCCCATAGCATCAAGCTGTGAAGCCCCCTTGTGTTGTTGATTCACTGCACCACTTCCCCTGTATCACGGGCAACGGCCGGACACCTCTGTGTCCCACGGATGCCAGTCAGTCTTCCTAGAACTTTAAACTGTTTTGTTGGTCTTTGATATTCCTGAGTTCTTAAAACGGTCTGGATTATTCTTCTCTATTTTTTTTTTTTTTATGGTACCGGGGATTGAACTCAGGGCCTTGCGCTTTTTCAAGGCAGGATTCTTCTTCTCTTTGTGATTCCAGATGAATTTTATAGTTTTGGAACATGGGATATCTTCTTTCATAACTTTTAAATGAAGTTTTAATCATATTTCTCTGTAGGGTTCCAAACATCTTTTTTAGATTTATTCATGAGAAACGTGTATTTTTTTTTTCCTGGAAAGAGACCTGTTCAGCTTTTGTACATGAAAAGGTCAGAATGATAGCTCACCAGCCAAATCTAGATTTAGGCCTTTTTTGGCCCTGGAGCTAAAAATAATTGCGCACTTTTTTAAAAAGGAAAAAGAGGGAAAAAAAATGTATTTCAGAGACTGTTAGGTGTCAATGAAAAGTCTAAAATACTTATTATCTGTCCCCCTATAGAAGCACTTTACCAATCGCTGGATTATAAAAACAAAAAAATTGATTTACTTTGATGTATGTATTTTCATTTATCTTGATCTTATAAAAATATTGACATTTGTAGTAGTGTCTATAAAACCAATTGTATATCTTACACAGACATTATCTGTTCACTGTTATTGTTATGGTTTGAGAAAGGGTCTCACTATGTTGCCTAGTCTGATCTTGAACTTGAAATCCTCCTGTCTCAGCCTCCCAAGTAGATGTTCATCTCACTCACTTTGGCAGCACACACACCAAGGAGCTGTTCAGAATGTTTAATGCCAACAAGTATATTTTCACTTCTTTGAAGTGGTTTGGTTCTTTTCCAAATCATTCTTGTTCTTTTCTCACAGGATTATGTATGTCTTTAATAATTTTAAACAAACTTGCGGTTTCTATCTGGTCAATCTAAGAGATCTAAACCTGTTTATTGATCCACTGACTTATGCTGCACATTTTCCTTCAGGTGTTTATACCTGAAGAGGCTGTTTGTGTGGAAAGCCTGAGGTTCAGGGGAAGTCAAATCCCCCAATGGTCTTGATTTTGTTTCTGCCTGGTGTCCCTGGGCCTAGGGCCACTTTTTATATTGACTGCCTGACACAGTGAGGACAAGACAGCATATATAATGCCAACCTGAGCCCTTGGTCTGTACAAAGGGCAGACTACAACTGCACATTTTAACAGGGACATTTCCCCTCCTTACCATCCTGAGCCCAGGCAGAGTCTAAGTTTCCTCACTGTTTTCCTGTGTGGTGGCCACACTGGTGTTCTCCCTGGGTTTTCACTTAGGCGGTAGGCCTGAGGGTACCCGTGCGTAGGGAGGTCTGCAGGTCAAGGCCTTGGCCACTCTCCTCAGGCAGGCATGAAATCCAAGGCTCTAGGGCGCCAAGACTGACGATGCACAGCACCTGCTTTCCCCAGGGCTCCACAGGGCACCATACGTACTTAACCGCCTGCTTTTCAGTTTCATCCTCACTTGTGGCCTCTTACTCTTGTGAACTCAGATGTGCACACAATATATATGTTTAAAGGCCAGTACATATACAGCATGAGCTGAGCTTTTTTCCCCAGCACTGTTTGGTGTTTTGAAGCAGAATTTTCAGGTAATCTCTCATACTATGGGAAGCACACATCTGCAGTGTACTTCACAGCACAAAGGGCTGATGTACTTCTGCACTTTCTGACTAATTTTAACAACTGAGAATTCTTTTTCAGAGCATGTGGCAGTCAGGTCAGAGATTCAGAGGTAAGAAATTTTAAAATTCAGAATTAAGCATCAATAAAGCAGACACTAGTGGAACAATTTCAAAACTACTGTTTCACGTTTGTTTTGGGATATAAAGATCATCAGGTGGATTCTAGACAAAAATGAATTGCTATGTACGTTCATTCAATAGACACCACAGCATAGGTTCACGACACAAGAGATGCATAAGATGCACTCCCTTATTCTACTGAAAAAAAAATTAGAAAAAGTCAAAACTTGCTTGTCCACATAAGTTTAGTTATATTATTATATTATTTAAAAAGTCAAGGCCAGGGATTTAGCTCAGTGGTGCCACCGCCTGCCTTGCAAGCACAAGATCCTGTGTTCTATCCCTGGTACAAAAAAAAAAAAAAAGCCTTCTAGAACTTACTATGGCTAATGATTTGATTTCAACATGTTACAAGTTAACCTACCTGAGCACAACAGATAAATACAACTGAGATAGTCAACAAGAAGGCAGATGAGACTATGACATCAACGGATCTCTGTGGACCTCGACGCTGGAGAGGGGAAAAAGGGAAAATACTTTTACACCACTTATTAATTAGCAGCCTAATGTCCATGCTTTCAATTAAGGTGTCGATCCATCACTGCAGGTTGGTTCTAGTTCACAATGTCAAAAATATACCCCACTTATCCAATGAATTTTAAAATGGTAATATTTCCTGGCAATTTGCAACCTAATTAAGTCTGTGTAACAGAATTCTTAGTGTAACATTCAAATACTACTTTTCTAATGATATAATCATTTAGTCAACAACAATTTCTTCTGTAAACTAAGTGTACTAGGAGCGAGAAATAGAACAGAGAGCAAAACAAACAAAATTTCTACCTTCACAGGGACGAGGAGGGGAGTACAACATCAAACTCACAATCACAGATTCAGTGCATGTGATGAGTGTTAGGAAGGAAAAGTACAGAGGATGCTTTGAGATACTTGTCTGGGAAACTTAATGGAGATTAGGGGTTAGGAATATGGGCCTGAAAGACTGCTTTAAGGAAACTATACTTACACAAATGAAAGGGCAAGGGCAGGGCAGCATGTAGCAATGTTTTAGGCAGAAGGAAGAGCGTGTACAAGAGCATAAAGCAGGAGGGATCACAGTGCACTTAAAGAACAGAACCAGTCTAGAAGATTAGAGAGGGAAGTGAGTTCCAGGTCAGTCTCAACTACGTAGTGAGGCTCTGTTTCAAAAAACCAAAAAAGAAAAAAAAAAAAAAAGCTTCTTTCATTGCTGCTCAAAGAAAAACTAAAGATCTAAGTATGTCAGAAGATACTTGGTCTTGGGGACAATTTTAATAACACATATAGTACTTTTAACAAAATAACCTCTATTTGCATGATTAAATATAGTAAGATTCACTGCTATTTAAACCAAAAACCAAAAATCCCAGAAAACAAGTGCTGCTGAAACTAATTCAGATGTTTCCCTCTTTCCACTAGTGTTGTCATATCTTACGTCCATAAACAGAAAAACTGTTAAAAAGATTAAAGAAGAGAACAACATGAAAGAAATGACCTGCAATTGCAAGGTGCAATTTAAAAATAGTAATAGGTCACGTCAGGGAGGAGACTCATTTGTTGCAGGCTCTTTGGATTCTTCTCTAAGTGGTGGGCTCCCTCTGCTGGTGTACGATACCCATTCTAGGCAGAAACAAAATCTTTAACCCAGCTTTCGCATGATAAACTGGTGACTGTACATCTACAGACACATATATTGGCAAAGAAACTGGAACTAGCAGAGGGAGCCAGCATTTTAGGGATACTTGTATCACTACCATTCTACCTTAAGATAGGAACGGAGAGATAGCCACATTTTTATATTCTGTACTTTCTTCAACCGGAAATGAGGAACCTCAGATTTTCGAGCCCTCCTTGCAGATGTTAAATGTCCAAAGAGTTTTGCAAAAAGCAATCGCTAAAAAAAGATTAAGAGGGGGATTAATTTTCAAGTAGATTACCACAGAAAAACAAAAAATCAACAAAAAATGGATTGTTATGATTTTATTTGGTTAAGTACTATAAAAGCAAAATAAAACAATTAGGTCAAACTGATTTAGTGAAATACTAAAATATTTCAGGAATACTTTGAACATTATGAAAGGATAAATTTATTTAGAAGTCTGTATTATACCCACCTGTTTATAAGTTCTTTCTGCTACACAAAGCAAAAAAAAGAAAATCCATACAAGGGATACACGAACCACAAAACTTATTATAACCATAGAGAGAACCATGACATCTTCATTAGAACCAAATGCAATCATATAAAGTTCTGAAGCAGAATGTGCCGTGAGTTGTTCCAAGTCTGTGGCTTGAGAGAGCCGGAAAACAAATGGTGTCAAGCCCAGGATTAGTGAGATTGCATTTCCAAAAATCTGGTATCCTATTCCTGGTATGTGGCTGTTCACCTTGAGAGTCAGGGAGAAGAAAGAAAAAAAAAAAGGTTATAGATTTTTTAACAAAATCAAATTAAAATTAATTCCTACTGAGGCTTATTTTGTTTACAGCAACAGGAAATCATTTTGTCAGAATATATTTTAATATATAATAAATAATGAAATTTGAGAGCCTATTATAGATAAATTATAAATTACTTATTTCTTTAGTTTTTACAGTAATTCATTACTGGATCTTAATTTAAGTAGCTGCAAAAGAATTTACTATCTCAGTCTTACTCGGATACTAAAAAAGAATTCTACGTACCTCATTATTTTAAAAGTTAGAGTAGTCACAAATACTGCAAAATTAGAAGATTTTACACCCACCGAAAGTGGTAGACTAGAAGAAGATCTTGGTAGCTAAATTTCTCACATGCTCTAGGTAAACGGGACTATTTTACCTTCTGATTCACAAATTGTTAAGCTTTAGAACACCACTAGACCCAAGTTCCCACACACTTTAATTTACTAGTTTTAACTGTCAGAATGAGATCTGTAAAGGGCATATACTAATTTTTAAATCCACTTATTTTAATTCCTGTTCTACAGAAAGACAGGAGTTCCAGCATAACAGGGCATAAAGGAGAGTTAGAACTGCAAGTTGGACTGTGCCGAGTTGTCCAGAGAAGTCAGGAAATTTGTCAAAGTAGCAATTATCTGATACAGGAACTACTTTAATAGAAATTGAGATGAAAATCCATGGTATTTATATGATACTTTTTCACAGCACTCAAGATTTTTAACACCCTCTGAATTACTCCCATATATTTAAGTAAGCAATCCAGTACAAAGGCAAACTTGTTTTTTAGATTTTATTTTAAATTTGGGGTACTAATAAATAAGTGAAACATTAAGGATGATACAGAAAAACGGATCTTTTTCAACACCTGTATATATCTAGCAGCTTCTCAATTTACCCACTGAAAGCAAAAAAGCAATAACATAAAGAGGAAAAATTTAAGTGTCAGAGGAGCGAACACACTGAAGCACAATGGTGGCTGGGCAAACAGTCGCTGTTGGAATCGCAGACAGAGCCAGACGTACACGGGATTTCAGAGTGCAGAAGCGACGCGAGCAATGTACTGCTGGGCACTGCAGTAACTGTGCTCCGTGCTGGGAGCCTCTCATTTCGCATTTGAACTGAAAAAATAAAATCTAAGACTCACTCTGTTCATGATCATTCCACTGATCTCGAGTACAGACATGTCTGCCTTTTTACAGTCGTTGCCTTCCCACACAATAGCGCTTATCTTTTCTAATCCTGGGTGAGTGCTGTGGAGCCAGGGCAAGTGACTCTGAAAAATACACAGAAATTGGTGAAATCTATTGATCACATTTCATACATAAAGTGGACATATAGACTTACACATATGGCTACACATTTAACTGCCCTACAAAGTGGTATATGCATGTACTATATTAATGGAGCACACACACCTGTACAGTGACTCTAGCTACACACCATTTCAAGCACACTAAAATTCTGCCTTAAAATCAGCATATACGATAAACAAATGGCACAGGAAATAGGGTAAAAACATACTTCGAACTTCTATGCAGTAGATAATAGGCAATACAGCATTCAAAAATACGCTAACACGCGTCAGTAAAAGTACTCAACTGGCAGTCTAGATGGCTTCACAGTACTAATGCACAAAGGCAGGTGGAGGTCAAGCTGTCCCCACTGGTCACTGCCCAACTGAGGATCAGACATGAGATTCGAAAGTCTCTGAAACTCCACATAGTGATACAACCTCATCCTGAAATACTTCCTCACACTTACTTTAAATATATGATCGGTCACTTTTACAAAATTTTGATCTAGAATCTCTCCAAAGTGTCAACTTAGCTTTTTCCCAGATAGAGCAAGCACTGTAAGCTGAAGCACAGAGAACCAGGGGTATTCTGTGAAGCGGGGATGAAGTAGCTCTCAATGTTTCAAGGAATACAAGAGGGAAGAGGAAAGCTGAGAATCTTAGCATGAAGATCAGATGCTTAAATTTGTTTTTGTTTTGTTTCAGGTCTATCGGTAAGAGAATAAAACTTGAAAAGACAATAAAGAGTTGAGTTAAAGGTAGCAGTAGAATTAATGAAATAGTAGCCTTTACATAATCAGAACTTGAGAGGACTAAAAGATCACACCCAGGACAGAATGAATGTATTTACATCACAGTTACTTGACTTACCATTTCTTTTTTTTTTTTTGGTACCGGGGATTGAACTTGGGTCCTTGCACTTGCAAGGCAGGCCACCGAACCACTGAGCTAAATCCCCGGCCCGACTTACAATTTCTAAAGGACAACTATACTTCTCTACCACATTGTACAAAAAGAACAGTTTTGATATTCATAGGAAAGTCAATGGATCTTCTTTCTTTTTCCTTTGGTACTGGAGATGGAACTCAGGACCTTGTGCTTGGCAAGCAGGCACAGGCAGTGCCATTGAGCTATGTCCCCTGCCCCCTAGTCAATGGATCTTTGACTTTCTAATACTAAAATTTTATATAAAAAAATTTCATAACCTCTCATTAAAATAACTTCTAACAAGGAAATGAATAATTTACTCTGTTATTTTTGGAGGACAAAATGTGATTGAAATATGATAAATGTTTCTGTAAATTTAAAGAATATATATTTAACTGGACAAAATGTAAAAATACTGTAAACTTCTAAATGAAAAAAAAAAAATTAAGGAATATAAGTTTTCCTGTGGGGGAATAAAGTCACATTGACTCAATTTAACTGAAGTTGTCTAATAATACAATGTAAGATAACAGGTCAGAAATTATCTTTTCCAAAGGTGTAAGACTTTAATAAACATTTACTTTCAAGGTATATATATTTAATATTTGAGGGCTGTTAGAGCTATCAGGTACTAGTTATTAATTATCAGCTCCTTCAAGACATTTCATAACTTATCTCCAAAGTATTCCAATTTGGGACAGAAATAACTTACAGTATGTATTTGTAGTATGTACCAAACTTCTCTGAAAATTTAATAACAGGAGCAAAATAATGGAACTAAAAAGCTAAAAAGAAGAGGAATATGAATGGGAAGAGTGGACCACGGGAGGCACAGACTTTAACTGCAGATCCAGACCCCTCCCCTCCCACTGCAGTCTCTGTCTCCAGGGTACAGAGGAGCAAAGCCCAATAGCAAGGTTGGGCTAGAGACAGAAAGGGGAGACCAACAATCTTACTGTCCTTCCTGAAGTGCTTAACTCTGTACCCAGCTACCTTCCCAGTCATTCCAACAACATTTAGTATTATTTATTGGAGAAAGCCAGTAAGCAGAAGAGAAGATGGCAATTAGAAACTGGTAAATTCAAGTTCTTTGAACGAAGCCTGTATCGCACTGTGCGTGCGGTAGACGCACGCTGAATGCAGTTGTGTTGGGGCTGGCACAGTCTGCAGCTTGGGGAGCAATGTTCCAGGAAACACCCCCACCTTTCTAAAGACTCAGGGAAAACATCAGGACAAGTACTTCAATCTTATAATCTTATCAGATGAGAGGTCTCAATAATGTTTTCAAACTAAAATCTGGAACTCTTAATGATTGTTCATCTTTATCTCAACTGCTCCGCCCTTTCATTCAAAGCTGCCTGAAAAGGTGAACACGTAAATGGAGGCCATGTTGTTTCTAATAAATTCACCAAGACAACTGCTTTACTAGTGTTCCCAACTGTGAAAATGTACTCATTAAAATCTAGCCTTACCTAATAAAAAATAAACGTCATATGGCATACACCTAAGCCATGATCACAGAAGAAAATTATCTCTTGCAGAAATGTTTGTTCCTATTTACAAAGAAAATAAGCAACGGAATAAAACTACAACTCTGGGATGTTATGACTAGAATACAGTAACTCCAATGGCCAGCGTCTCTCCATCAGGTCAGATTTTCCACATTTATGCAGGCAGGAAAAGCCCTGCAAACCTAACACAGACCTCAGCCAAACAAGAACCCTGCAGCTTTTCATTAAAGGGAGCTAATGTCTCTTATTTGACAAGTAGTAAAACTGAAAACATGATCTTGCTCTTTCTAGAAGCCCGAGAACAAATGAATATAAAAACTGAACTTTAATCCAACAGTAAAACCAACGAAAGTTTAGTATACACAAACAGATATACAGAGTAAAATATTTTTAAAACTGTCTTACGAAAAGGAACAGCATAGTATGATAGACTTAGGATCAGTTTATTCTTTTTGGTACTGGGAATCGAACTCAGGTCCTTGCGCTTGTGAGGCAGGAGGCGGAACCACTGACCTAAATCCCAGGCCCCAGTTTATTCTTTGTAGCCATCATAAAAGAACTGCTTAATCATTTAAGAAAAGCCTAGTTGGGCAGTGGCATGAGCCTATAATCCCAGCAATTGGGAGGCTGAGGCAGGAGGATCTCCATGAGTTTGACGCCAGCTTAGGCTACATAGTGAGACACTGTCTCAAACCTTCCCCTGAAAAAAAAAGGCCTAATATGAATGTTTTTAAAATTTTAATTTTGTTTCACATACTCAGCTAAACATTTATTAAACACATACTGTGTACTAGATAATGAGTGACACAATAGGGCAAAGCATTGCTTATCGTATCTCTGGGGAAAAAACTCACAGGCGTTCCCTCCTCTCCACTCCAGTGGATAAGCACAGGGACTTGGCTGCATATGCAAATGACTCATTCCATGCCTGTCTTTTCATGACCGCCCATTACTGTCCAGTTTCTTCAAATCCAGGGACTGCCAGCGATTCCCACAATCACACCTGGGCCCTGTGGCCACACAGAACCGCTCTACTGCTGAGACCGACCGCAACCTCCCACTCCCTGGGTTCCTCCAACTTCCGTTCTAAAACACCAGCGCTTGCACACACGTGTCCTCAGCCTCGCCTGGTTCCATGCTTCTCAGGCTGACACAGCACCTTTCCTCTTGGCCCTCAAATGGCAGTCAGCTACTGTGTGCCTACTGTGTAAGACGACGGTCACATTAGTAAACTGAGCACCAACTTTTTCACCTATGAAATGAAAACCACAAGCACACAGGGCACACGGCCTGCATACGATAATGCATATCCGTTATTTTGCACAGGTCTGACATACAGCAGGTGCGTATTCCACGTTCATTACTATCGTGGCTATTATACTTACATCCTGGAAATGTTATGAACTGCAGTGGACAACTACAAATTCAGGCTTTCATATTCCAGCAAGGCCCTCAACAATGTGGCTACGCAACCCGTTCAACGCGCTCCCTGGCTTGAATGGGGCGCGCCCCCCTCCTTCCTCCCCTCCTCTCCCCTCCAGGCTCACTCACACCTTCGTCACCACCACCAGTCCCTGTCACCGCAGCTCCCTTCGCCTCTGCCCCTCACAGAGAGGAGGTCATCAGACAACAGTGCCGTGGCTGTCCTGCCGGCCTCTCTCCCAGCAGGTGTGCTCCCTTCTGACCGATGGCTACGCTTCCTAAATGATGCTCCCCTCCAGAACCCCAAGAGGCCTTCATCCCACCAATGGGCTGTCTCCTCTACACCTGTAGGTCCTTCCCACTGGTTTTCATGAACGTACATAAGCGTCCTCCTCAGTAGTTTGTACCCTGGGCAGTAGGGACCAAAACACTCTTTCAACTCCTTTCTCCATCCAACTACTCATTTTCTCCAAACTCATGTTAAATTTTCATGCTAGTAAGGAAAGTCCCCCGTTGTGCTATAAAACTATGCCTTTTATTCTCAGTATTTTCCTTTTTAATGGGGACCTGAAATATAAATTCAACCAAAAACAGCTGGATAAACAAATCAGCTGTGGTTAAGTGGTGACAATAGGTTCAGGTGATAATGGGTTCCACGTCCGGCACCTGCCTTTAATGACTATTTAGAGGTGGAGCCTTGGGAGGTGGTGGGGTTAGAGGCTGAGCCCTGATAAAAGGAAATAACTCCCTTAGGAGGGAAGAAGAGACTAGAGCTTACTCTAACATGTGAGGGGCAGGAGACCCAAAGTCTACAAAGGGAAGAGGGACTTCACCAAGAACCAAACTGTGTCAGCACAGCCTGCTGGTCCTGGCCTCACCCCTCATCTGCAGGGATTCTGTGACAGCGGAGGTTCTGATGCCTCTCTTTGTCAGATGAAGAACTACCTTCTCTCTCTAGCTTTCTAAGCCCTTGCTTCTTATTCTATGGACGGCACCTGATGAGGAGTTGGATGAGAAAGGAGGGGAGAGAGAGTGAGGATGTTAAATGGTCAGCATGGGCAGACACGCCACTCAGCACCAGACTCTGAGGGCAGAGAAAGACAGATGGACAACCGCAGGTGGGAGCAGGGTACAACTCAGGGTCCTGCTGAGGCATTCAAATGACAACATCCCACAGAATGGTGCTGTTCAGTGCAGCAGCCCAGTTCACACGTGGCTACTGAGGTGCTCTTTAGCTAGGCATGGTGGTGCACACCTGTGATCCCAGCACTCAGGAGGCTGAAGCAAGAGGATCGCCAGGAGTTCCAGACCAGCCTGGCTACGGTGGGAGTTCAAGGTCAGCCTGAACTATACAGGGAGTTCAAGTCTCAAAAAAAAACAAGTTAGTTGGAAAAAAAAAAAAAAAGAGATATTCTTTAAGGGTTCACACTGAATTGTGAAGACATGGTGTAAAAAAAGGAAAATAGTCTGTTAACATTTTTCATATTAGTTACATGATGCAGGGCTAATACTCTGAATATAACTGGTTAAATAAAATATTATAATTATTTCCATTTTTTGAAGTATCTTTAACGAGGCTAACAGAAAACTGAAAATTACACGTGACTCCTATCTCCACTGAATAGTGTCACTGTGCTGTCCTCTAGTGTCAGCCTGACATTCGTGAGTGCAGCTCTGGGTCATAAACGCACAGGCAGAGCTCTGACCTCGGGGCCCATGAATCTGAGGATGAAGGGTGCCGAGTGAGAAAAGGACAAGCACGCCCACAGCATGATTACCCTCTCAGAACTCACAAGATCTTCAGACAAACAAGACACAGCCACAGCCCAAAAGCTGCGGTTTCATGTCCTGATGAAGACCGACCACAGCTCACATACAAAGAAGACTGCAATATTGTCTTAACTGAATGCAAGTTTTTCTTCACCTCTTAACATGTGTACACACATTCAAAGGAGCTCAAGTGATGTGACTGCCCACATAACCCAATACTGTAAACCAACCTGATGAAAAGGGTCGTCTCTATATTCTTTTTTCACACATGGGTTAATCTGAGGATTTTCCACATCTGTCTCACTGGTACAAGACGAATGGCATTCTGCACAATGTAACAAGTCTTCCCATAATACATCTTCTGTTTCAGATTCTGGCCTTGTGCTCTCAGAATCCTGTCTGGAACTTGAACAGCGAGAGCTGCAACTAGTACCCGATTTAGGGGCATCCTGAAATCAAGATATTCTTTGACATTAATGCAATTTATGTATCTTTTCCAACTAAAAGGATTCTAGCAGAACCATATATTGCTACTTTTCCAAAACAAACACTGTCAAAAGACAGTGACAAAAATAACAAAACATTAAAAATATATATTAAATTTTAAGGAGTAACAAAATGCTCTCACATCAAAATGTATCTGATTTCATACTTCGGCTAAGGTATTTTGCTTGTGAACACTACCTATTTTCTCTAAAATTTTCCATGAAATTCAGAATTCAGGAAGGCAGGGACTAGTCTCAGTTTATGCGGTCTGCACAGCGAATAGTAACCTTCTTCAATATTCTTACAGATATTTTCTTACTCTAGTATTTTTTAGCAACAGATGTCATTCATCTACTACCTTTTTTTCCCAAAATGAAATTTAAAATTGATAACCTAAACCAAGAGGGTAACTGGCAACTTATGTTCTCAAGATAATTTGTGATATAAAATGAAAAGCTAGCCACAAGTCATTTCTAAACAATTTATTTTATCCTAGTGTTTAATGTGCAAAATAGGAATTTGAGTAAAATCTTGATTTAAAATTTCAAAATTTTACTGAATAAAGAGTAGTAATAGCCATCCTTATAACCAACTATGCTCAAACTTTTGGATTTCTTCTTAGTAGCTCTCTGCCAGTAAGATTTGTCAGTCCTACTACTAAAATGTTTTAGATTCATCCTTTTGTCTTTCCCATGGTCAACAGAGTTCAGGCTTTATCATTCGCATCTTAACTGGTAAAAGCTCCTCCTAGTTGATCATGCCTTTAAACAAAACCTTTTTGCCACTGTTTCCCACTACTCTCTCCTGGATAAAGTTTGAATTCCTTCACCGAGCCTCCTGGTCTTCAGTACTATGTTCTGACCCCAACCCTTTCCTCCAGCAGCTCCAGGCTACCCGAACCCTAGACGTGGCTAGTTCCTTCCCACTCTAGCCATAATGTATACATACATATAATCAAATTTAGAGGAGATATATTGTGTGAAGAAGAATTTATAACAGAAATGCCTTGTTCCTTGCAATTTATGAATGATTTTGCTGACCCCTAATAATCTCTCAAGGCCAGTCTTATCTCTCCACTGTAAAGATACAGAAATTAAACTATTCTCCCCAAGTCATTTAAATGATCTGACTCAAAATCCACGATTGCTTCATTATGCCTCCCTTCATTATACTACCCTCATTTAATGAAAAGCTAATCTGCAATAGGGAATAAAATGTGAAAAATACCAGTAGAGTTAAACAAAGCAGGATGGAGGAACAGACAGGACACACATGTGAAAGAAGCTGTCTTTTCTTCAGGACATCCTGTGCATCCCAAATAAGCAAGTAATTCCACCAGCACCTGCCCAACAGGAGGACTGAAAGAAGCCAATCAGATAGGGCACTTATTGGAAAATGCAAAGAACAGGGTGATGACAGTCTACACGTGAAATGACAAGATCTGAAGCACATCCTGATCAGCTCAGTGTCCCAGCTGCTCTCTCCCACCCCAACCCAGAAGATGAGGCTCTGCCTGAAAACCAGCGCCTGTGAGGCTCCCAGAATAGGCTCTGTGGGCTTCCAACAAGTGGCTGGATTCTTGACCCTTCATCTTCAGGGAACCTCTCCAACCCCACCCTGCACAAAGGGCTTCCCCAAACATTAAAGTTCCTTTTTCATTTAGTTATTAGAACACTTTTATAAATAGAAATTGTATTCAAACTCTATCTGTGGCCCCTGAGACCAACTGAAAAAACCCTAATCGTCTCTGATAGCTTCCTTGCTCTCTCTCATCCCGAGGGTTCCTGTGATCTTCAGGAACTAGGAAACAATCATTTCTTCAAGAAGTACAGCCCCTTTGTTTTGGTACTAGGGATAGAACTTAGAACCTTGAGCTTGTGAGGCAGGCACAGCACCACTGAGCTAAATCCCCAGCCCAAGAAGTACAGCTTTTTGTGGGACTTTCTTTAAAAGAGATAACTGCTCAAGCTAGGTATTAGAATTACTTATTTGGTGGTGCTGGTGATAAAGGCATGCCACACTAACAGAGAAAATGTATCACTAGCAATTTGAAGAGTACAGTATTTGTAATACACATGAAAAAGCAAAGCAACACTACAAATCTGTCTCCACTTTAATTTTTCAAAAAGGTTTATTTTGCTTTTTAAAAAATATTTTTAAAGTTGGTTTGACTAGAGAAGGTAAAAACTTTTTGCAATTGAATGCAGCTTTTAAAATCTTTTAGACTAAATTCTCTATATAATCAACCTATATATTAACTAATTATAAGCCTTACTACATTGAAATCTAGAAAAAATTTAACGAACACATTTAAAAGTCAAGATTAGTAGAACAATATTCTGTCTTTTAATAATCTCAATAGTTTAAATAGTTCAGCCAGACAGGGTGGTGGCATGCCAAAATCCCAGAACTTGGAGGTAGAATGATCCCAAATTTGAGGCTAGACTGGGCAAGTTAGGGACTCTTTAAAGACCCTATTAAAAAAAAAAGAGCAGGATGGGCTGGGGATGTAGCTCAGGGCGAGGCTCTACGTTCAGTCCCTCGGAGCTTCCCCAGTGTGAATATTAATAGTTCAAAATACAGCTGCCAATCAAGGACAAAGATCATGGGGTGAGAAATGTACCCAAAGCCAAATAATTTGTTCTACAGGAGAGGGATTTAACAGCTATGAGCTTCTTTCAAGCACCATGGACCTTGTAACTGTTAGTAAGAGAGACTGAGAAGGTCACACCTAGTTACTTGGTTTAGGCTCAGATAACAGCGCATGAAAGTCCTGCAGGTGAAGAGGTGAGGAGCACACACATGGTGTTAGTGTCTGTCAGGGTAGCTGCTGCAAGAACAGAGCCAACCACAATCAGCAGAAAGAGCAAATGGACGCAACCGCAGAGAATGTGCAGTCAAGAAGAGCCTCTGCTCATCTCAGCACCCTGAAGGTGCTCACACCCTAAGAGAGAGTAACATTTGACTTTTTGTAAGTTTAACTTAAAATCATCAAGAAAAAAACAGCAATAACACTTTCAAAAGCAAAGATAATATTGACCAAAAAAATGACATAAGGAGTAATTTGCTTTGAAGCCAGGTAAGAAAAATTTCCATCCTTAGAAAAGAAACTGAAAGTAAAGTGGAATGAAATTCCTTTTTCTATTTAAGTACTTTAAAGCTCAAGAGGTGATAAAATGTGAAAACAAAAATCAACAAGGTGAAAGAGAATCAAAGAAAAACACTGAAAGCTAGACAGCATGGAGAACTTAATAAATAATGACAGCAACATACAGAAAGGCATTCAGACCACCACCCATCAGGACTTAGCCTCTCCGCTGCGGACCAACACAGGTGCTTGCAGACTGACTCTCCAGGTGGCCTTATGTAAAAGCAAATAGCAACGTGAGTGTGATACCTCAGTGAAGTTGTGCAAAACACCTGCCAATGTATGACTAGCGTATGTGTGCGACAGAAACCTCAATCTCCACTCTAGAATCAGTACAATAATAAATACTGATGAGGACGGGAGATGTTTCCACAATACTCCACTGTCAGTAATGTGCAAGGCTGGATTATATACCTCATTAGGGCAGTGCTTCTTGTAGTGCTGTGATTTTCTGTTCCGAAGGATGCTTTCAGAAGGCCTGTCCATGTGACGTTGAAGTGAATAGCCTGCTTCAGGGCCTTCCTCACTGGACACTTCATCAGAGACATTTGTCATTGTCCTTTGGGTGTCCTAAGTTTGGAGTACACAAAGAGGATGAGAAGTCATTTCTGCTCGATGTGGTGGTGCACACCTGTAATCCCAGCACTAAAAAGGCTGAGGCAGGAAGATTGCTGCGAGTTTGAGGCCAGCCTGTGCTACATAGTAAGTTCAAGGCCAGCCTGAACTACGTAGTGAGATCTGTCTCAAAAAAAAAACAAGAAAAAGAAAAAAAGAGAAAGGTATTTATCATTTCTGACTGACCTGCTAGCTTCAAGGTGGCACTATTTTAAGTTGTAAATAACATTTGAAATATCATCAAATACCACTGAGTAACTGAACAGCACTACCTGATTTTTCTGCAAAAAATGTCTCAATGTGATTATATTCTTAAAGTATACTTTAGCTGGGCTGGGGACGTAGCTCCATGATGGAGAAACTGCCAAGCCTGTGCAAGGCCCTGGTTTCAATCCCACAAAAAAAGAAAAGGAAAATTTATACTTTACTTTTAAAAGTAATTCAATAGACATTTATTGTATGTTGTTCTACATTTCAGTAGATAAAAACATTTGAAACAACTTACAAAATTAAGAAATATAACCAAAAGCAGAACAGAGCCCATTTCAAAGAAGCTGAGAAACCTGAGAAGAACTAATTACACTGTTTTCAAAAACAAGAACAATAAAGTCATCAAGCCACCGATGTAACAGTGGCTTATGGGACAGCACAAAGGGGTAGATGGCGGCTGACTATGTGCACACAATTTTGAGGAGACACTCAGATTTCAGAAATTTTGAAATTAAAGAAGCCCCGGGCTGGGGCTGGGGCTGAGTGGTAGCAAGCTTGTTAAGCACATGTGAGGTCCTGCGTTTAATCCTCAACAGCGCACAACTACTGCTTATCTTCAGGCTCCTCTCCTGTTACTTAAGTACTGCATAACAGGAAACGTATCTGAAAATTTATCTGTTGAGTGATGATAATAACACAAGGTTCACATTGGACAGCTAAGTGCCTGGAACATCTAAAGTCACAGTAAGGGATTATACAATGAGACCAAGAAATCTGGTGAAGGTCTAGGACATGTTTTAAAAATGCGTTCCAGCAAGAGACACACTGCCATTACGCTTCCTCACAATACTCCCCCTTGCTTTGTTCCTGCCACCTACTGGAGCTGTTTCTGGAAGTCTTCTTTCATGAGTGCCTTAACTTACATGTTTGTGGCTGTCTCCGTGTCCCGAATCAACTCAAAACGTTTACCTTTCACCATAATCTGGACTCTGGGGAAGAGCCAGAAGTTGCAGAGAGCCAGGTGCAGGACGAAGGTGGGTGCAGCACACAGTAATGTCTGTAGGAGCCACCTCCCACGGCGGGCACTGGCAGCTGCACTCCCTGCAGTTTCGATCACACCACGTGAAGGCACTCACTTTGCTAGGAACACCCCTCGGTGTTGCTGGGATCCAGGCGGTCTCTTCGGGACAGACAGTTTCACAATGAGGTTCGTGGTTTTGTATTCCATCTTCACTGCTTTTAACAGTCTTCTTCCCATCAAGGGACACGTAGCCATTATCAGTCTCTGTCGATTTATCAATTGAATTCTTTGTTTTCGTTGATCTAAAGAGAAAAAAATACATAGAGCCCATTGTATTGACTTAGTTCATTTTGGATGGGTTACTGTTACAAACTATCCTCTGGTGATAATTATATTAATTAGCTGTTTCTCAGATTTTGATGGCTCCTTTTCTTTTTATAATAAATAATTTCAGGGACATAAGAAACATTTAAAGTCTCAGCTAAGTTCAGCTTACTGCACATTTTGAGGTTTTAGAAGTAGCCAATTCTGAAAGACACGCTCTGATTTATTAAACAACTGTTAGTCAAAATCACTAGTTCTTTGAGCAGTGTAGGATCAAAATTTTGTCAATTTTCTATGGTTAACAATATATTTTGAAGTATTACTTTAAAAAAAACTACCTTAGCAATTCCCAGGTTAAGTTGAAATTAGTGGTTACGTTATTTTTAATAGTCTACTTTACCTACTTTATCATAAGTATATATAAGCAAATATCTCATGAGGTCATTTTAATACATAATGGAAACATAGGATCTTTTTTAAGATTAAAAAATTACACGAAAAAGAGAAAAACTTTCAATAAGTTTCAAATAATGAAAGAAATAACAATAAAGATCATAAAATAAAGTAACCTTTTATTATCCACTGAAATACTCTGGGAAAAATTTTTAGTAGTCAGAAAACACCTAAAAGGCTAAAATTAAGGATCTTAATTTATAGTAATAAAATTTTCCTCAATATACAAAAGACAACTTGGGAAATAAACATTTTTAATTAATATGCAAATCACAGAAATCTTCAGAGCCTACAGTGAGTGAAAAGATTGCTATTGAAAAGAAATGATTAGCAGAAGTACCATAATGTAAGCGCTACATAAATTAAAATGTGCTCGATGCAGATCCAGTCTATCACAAAACATAATTTTAAAACAATTATATTTAAATAAATCCTCTTAAAAATTTTTCCCAGGATATCAGTCTTCCTGAAAGAAATACATTAGGCTTCTCCCACCCCAGCCGCCCTCGCTCAAGTGCCAGGAAGGTAGCCGCATGGGTGCCCCTGAACCTCCATAAGTCCCGCCCCCCGCACACTCTCAGACCTCCTGACTGTGCCAGTCTTTGGACCCACTCCACAGAGGCAGAGGTGGTCATCAAGGGTATATTTCTGCATTCCCAACTTTGAACATCTTTAAAGAAAGGGCGTGGGAAACCTGTAATAGAACGTTGTGGAGTTCAACCATTCAGAAGGCTGGGGAACTCAGTCTGGGCCTTGCAGCCTGAAGTCAGTCAGCGTCATGGGGTTCAGCCATCAGCTGAGACCAGGGGTCTTGCATTCTTGCTCTGTCTGAGCCATTAAATGGTAAATACACTATATTGAAATTTTGTTCACTGCAGATATGTTCTGGACTGCTTCTTGATTCCAATTTAATTCAAATGATTTAAGGGTGATAGACTAGTGACTACCACCGGTGGTCAGTGTCAAAGTTGAGCTTGATCTTAACGTGTTGCTGATTGTATCAGTTGGGATAAAGCATTGCAGTTGATTTGATGAGCTGTTTTCTCTGATGTTATGAAGATGAGAATGTCTGTGGGTCGTTAGAGACACAGAAGCTAGGGCGCAACTATATCAGGAAGATTTGGGTGATAATCCAGAGATTAATCCAAGGACAATCCGACAACAAAAATTAAAATGAGAAAACACTTAAGCAAGACACAAAGACAGACCTCTAGTTCACCAATGGCAAACAGTAGGGCAAATGAGGATGAAAAGGCCAATAGTGAACCACCAGGACACCCTAAACTCAAAGCACAGGAAGGAACAAAACAGATCAATCAGGCTCTAGAAAAATTCAAAACAGAAATAAGTTCCCAGATAACCACAGAGATAGTGAGCAAAATGAAAGTTGCGATTCGAGACTCTAGAGCATAAACTGACAAAAAAATAGATGAGCTCAGGACTATGATAGAAGCCATGAAGGCCCAGCATAAGAAAGAAATGGAAAAAATAAACGCCCAACATAGGAAAGAAATGGAATCCATAAAACAGATTCAAACAGATCCAGGAGATTAAACAGGCCATAGAAAGTGTACACAACAGAATAAAAGAATGCGAAGATAGACTCTCAGATATAGAAGATAAGATTGCAGTCAGTGACCGTGAAAAGAGAGGTCTCTTAAAAACAGTAAGGGATCATGAGAAATCGATCCAACAACTCCTAGACGATGCAAAGAAGAATAACATAAGACTGATAGGAAT